CGTCCCAGACAGCAGCCAAGACATGCGCTTGTGACACCACTGAGAACTGTGCACACACCACACACACACATATGCATGCATGCAAACACACACTCCCACACGCACACTTATTCTTTTGGCCGATTTCGGAAACATGCGTCTTGCCTGGAAAATGCTGCCTCCACATTCCTCCCATGAAGAGCAGCCCAAAAAACGGGGGAGAAAAAAAATGGAGGGAGGTGGCAGCGGAAAAGCGTTCTCCTGTGATTGTGTCCTGGGGGTCTCTCCCTCCTCTCGCTGTCTGTCTGTCGCTCGCTCACTCCCCCATATGTGGGTAAGCAGAGATTTCTGCTCGTCTTCGGTCAGTCGCTCAGAATGGGAAGCGTTCAGAGACGGACAGAGGAGCCTGTTGTTTTCATTCCTTGTTCTCGTTCTAGCCTCTCGCTCTGGGTTTGTCCATCTTGATTGCCATTTTCATCCCCCTCTCTCTCGTCTCATTTTAGAGCAAACCTCTCAAGGTGAAAGAGGAGAGGAATAATTACGCCTGGCCGAGTCGAGGAGAGTCCCGGAAAGAGGGAGAGGGTCAAAAATTCCCACACGAGTGCCAGTGCAAAGGAGTTGTGCCGTTCCACTCCTCACGCTCCCAATCACTCCCCCTTCTGTTGCTCTTTTTTTTCTTGACCCACTCCTTTTTTTCCCCCTCAACCGCACTCCCTCGCTCTCAAATTTATGATTTGGAGACCACAGTGGTTAGAGACTGCCAGCCTCTCCCTTCCACTCACATCTCTCCGCCTGCCTTTCTTTCTTTTATTTTCTCTTGCTCTTTCTGCCTCTCTTTTATTCGCCCTCCCTCTATGCTCAAAAATTACAGTCATGTCTGTCTGTTAAAATGGTATTTATTTGGCTTATGCAATGTGAACACTGTATGTGTGTGTGCTTTGTGAAAGAAGCAAAATGAAGGTTAAAGAAAAACAGTGAAAAGAACAAACGGAAACGAAAAATGACCAAACTAACAAACGAAAGAACAAGCTAAAAAAAAGAAACAAAAGAAAAAAAATATTTGTTTGAAAGAACAACAAAGTAATGAAAGAGAGAAACAGACTTACATTTGAACAAATTAAAGAAAAAACAACGCACATAAAACAAACGAACAAACAAAAACAAATGCAAGGTAAAAACTACTGAATGACCAAAAACAAACAAAAAAGGAATGATTGAAAGACTGATAGTTTGATTGATTGATTGATTGATTGATTAATCAAGTAATGAATGAACAAATATATGCTTGAAAAAAATGATTGAACAAAAAGAATTAACCAACAACCAAGCAAACAAACAAGGAATAATTGAAAGATTGAAACATTGTTTAATTGATTGATTATCAATCAATGATTGAATCAATCAATCAATCCATCAAGTAACAAATTGATGAATGAACAAATATATATTTGAAAAAAAAAAAAAACTGTTTGAACAAACAAATGATCCAACAAAAAAAGGAAAAAAATAACAAATGAACAAACTAAAAAGGCCTAAACAAACAAAACAAAAAAATAAATAAATAAATAAAAGAAAAACAACAAACTACTGACCAAAAATGGAAAGAAATGAATGAATTAAAGTCAAATTAATGAAATAAATATTTTAAAAATGACTCACAAAATAATAACCAAACAAACAATGAAAAGAACAAACAAATGAATGAATGAATAAATCAACTAAAAAACTAATAAAAAAAAAGAACAGACCCAAACTAAAGAACAATCGAAAAAATGTGAACAAACTAATGACCGAACAATAAAAATAATAAATGAACGAACATCAAATGAATGAAAGAACAAACATCGAATTAATGAAAGAATAAATAAATCAACAAATGAAAGGACAAACTATAAAATGAACAAACTAACCACCAAAGCAAACGAGCAAACTAATTATTGAACTAATGAACACTACATGAATAATAACACTTGAAAGGAAACAGAGCGTACAGCACAGTGCAGACACAGACACAGACACAAAAGACGTGTAGCTACTAGCTGCTCACACTGTAGCTGAATGAGTGATTTAAAGCTACTTAAGACCAAACGAGCACACCGTCACAGTGGCCAATACACGCCGTCCCAAATCACTTAACAGTATTTCCAGTGAAAGTCAAGACATTCGCCACACTTTTCAGAAAATACACACACGGAAAGGAATTTAAGGCTGCTGAACAGTCACCATATGAGCGGAGGGTCACATAACGCACAACTGGTCAACACAGAGGAACCAGATCAACACTATTAGTTTGACATAACACAATATTAGCCTTATAGGGGACTTG